ATAATAATATAAAAATAATTGATATAAATAATAATTATCATAAATAATTATTAAATAATATTAATATATAATTAATAAATATTAATTAATAATTAACTAATATTTAATATTTATTAATATTAATAATGTTTAAATTTTATTAATATTTAATAATAAATAATATTAATGAGAGTTATAATTGGAAAAAGTGATAATAAGCTAAAAAAATGCTACTCCAAGTAGCACTACAATAAGTTAGCTTATAAACTAACTAGAAGTGCCCGCGTAATACAACGAGATATATCTCAATTTTAATGTTTCATTTTATTCTGTCCCCTGTCGATGTTATAATACGATTTTATGTGGTTCTAAGAAAAACAATAATGTTTTTATTTTTTAATAAAATATAAATACGAAGATATCTTAAAATTTTTAAAAGAATATATCGATATTAGTATTAAATTAACTATTTAAAAGTTTTTGTTTTGTTGTGTAATTTCTTTAATTCAATTTATTTATTATTATAATTTAATTTAAGGTTAACGAAGTAATTTATTTTTGATTTAATAATATATATATTTTTTTAAAGATAATAATTAAATATTCTGTTAGAATACATTGATTATCCTAATTATATTTTTTATTTTTAAAATGAAATGTTTATCTAGTATTTGATCATGTTTATCTGCAGTTAGTTACACAAATGTAAATATGAAGCTTTAATAAGTTGTACATTATGCATTATTTACTTGCAATCTTGAATTTTAAGTAATATGCATAAGTAAACAGTACTTTATGTATAAAAACGGTTTTAAGAGTTTTTGTCAAATACTTTATAATCTATACTATATTATAAAGCATTTGGTTAAAACTCTTAAAAACTCTTAAATTCTTAAACTCTTGAACTCTTAAACCCGCTCATCCCTAACGATTTCATCCCTATCCGATTTCATCCCATAACTGAATTCGTGTAACTAACTGCAGATAAACACAATCCAATACAAGATAAACATCTCATTTTAATTATAAAAAATCTAAAATATAATTAGGATAATCATTGAGTTCTAACAAAATACTTAATTATTATCTTTATAAAATGTTATATTATTAAAC